GTACACGCCGTATGCACCGCTGGCGGCCGCAGCGGCCGCGGCCGCGGCGGCGGCAGCGGCGGAGTGGTCGCCAAAGCGGCCCGCGCCGATCGCCTGCTGCGCCACAGAAGCGGGCGGGAAGCGGCCCCCGCCGCCGTGCGCGCCGCCGTAGGGACCCCCAAGGCCCGCGGCGGCGGCCGCCACTGCAGCAGCGCCCGACGGGTAGGGACCGCCGGTGCCGGGGCCGCCAAAGCCGCCGGCGACGCCAGCGGTGATGGGGGGCCGCAAGCCGTAGGGGTCCCCGCGCGCCCCGCCGCCGCCGCCGCCATAGCCGCCGGGCACCCCCGGCCCTGCGCCCAGGCGCTGGTGCAGCCCGCGCCCCCAGCCCGCAGGCGCCCCCGGAGGGAAGACCGGCCCGCCGCCGGGCCCGCCGCGGCCCGCGCCGTACTGCATCCCGCCGCGCGGCGCGCCCGGGAACATCACCGGCCCCGCACCGCCGCCGCCGCCGCCGCCGCCGCCCGCGCCCTGGCCCCCGCCGGTGCCGCCGGGCCCGCGCCGCGCGGGCGGCATCTGGTCTCGCGGCACGGCCGGCTTGATCTCGATCTGCTTGTCGTGGATGCTCTGCATTGCCCCCAGCGCAAAAACGGCGTCCACCGCGTCCTCCTCTGCAAAAGTGATGAACCCGAACCCCCGGGGCCGCTTGTTATCGTGGTCATACATCACGACGGCATCCTCCACGCCGCCAAAGCGCTCAAAGTAGGCCCGCAGCGCCGCGTCGTCGACAGAGGCCGCGAGGCCGCCCACAAAGATCTTGCGGGTCTTCTGGGCGGCCGCGTCGCCGGGGGGCGCGGCGGGGGCGGGGGTCTCCTCCTTGGGGACGGCCTTTTTTGCTTCCACCTGGGGGGGAGGGTTGCAGAGGGTGTGTGTGAGGCGCCGGGGTGTGTGCCATTGAGGGGCGTTAGCGGTGTCGGTGAGTTGCTTTCGTAGCTAGCCCAGGCGCACTGGTGGAAAGCCTGTGTGGTTTAAGCCAAACGCCCTCAGGCACACGCTGACATGGTCTGCCGTCCGCCGCTGCTGAGCACAACGCATGGCACGCCGCCATTAAATTACGCAGGCAGCATGTGGCCTCCCCGGGGGGGGGGGGCGGTCGCCAGGTCGCTGCGTGTAATCCCTGTCGCCCACACCTCGCCCTCCTACTAGGCCGCGTCTGCGCCAGCTGCGTGCGCGCGCATATGCGCACCTCCCGCCGGTCGATGTGGTGCTTTCCCTGCGCGACGACCTTGTCCACCACAGCCGGGTCCGCAAAGCACACAAACCCGAAACCGCGCGGCCGCCCGGTGTTGCGGTCAAAGCTGCATGGCGCGACAAGGGAGGGGGGTTGTGGCGGTGGTGGCGTGTCCCGTAGAGAATGCGCGCAATCCGCGAGGGCGCCCCATGCCCAACGTGGCTGCGCCACCATTGCCCTGCGTCTGCAGCATCATGTCATGTGGGACCGCTAGGGTCCCCCTGGCGGTCCCACAACTGTCGCACCCAGCGCACAAGCGCCGCACGACCCAACCGCGCCTGGCGACCCCCAGGCCATCCCTTCTGCGCACCTGACGAAAGCCTCTGTAACCTCCCCAAAATTGCCAAAGTATGTTGCGAGCTTCTCATCCCTGCGGGCGCGGAGGGAGTGATAGCGCGGGTGATACCAGTGCCACCTGTGGCCACAGCCCCCAAGCGCTCCCTCGGGCTCACGTGGTCTCCCATGAGAGTCCTCCGACGAAGACCTTGTTCTGCTGTCTGCTGCTGGTGCTGGGACCACCAGGTGGTGGTGGCCCAGGCTGCTGCATTGTTTCTGCGAGCGCAGCACGAGGGCGGCGTGCTGCAACCCGCCTTCTGCCTAATTAAATAAGATATCGCGGTGCTACCAGCGTCGCGTTTGCCGCGCCCGTCTGCTGAGTGATGAGGCCGCGGTTCGTCAACAACGCAGCCTCGGGGCCGCCGAATACCCCCTATGATTTATTCCAACTGTCTAAAAGGCTACTATGCTGCAGCGCGTCGCTGTCTCGGTTCATCCAGGGCGGGCGGCTACACTGCGGATGAACGTTTCTGCACCTGCGTTTCCGAACGCAGCGGTGCTCTCTGCCTTATTAAACGTAGATATGTAGGCCCCAAGGATCCCGTAACCAATCAGTGGACGCTGGTGCTCAACACCTCGGTGGTCGGGCAAGCCTGCCAGCTGGAATGAGTCGTACTCTTGGCGCAGCAAGGCCGCTCTGTGCTTATGGGATGTTGAGGGGGCAACAAATTTCATGAATCCCTTCTGTCTCACTGCCCTGACAAGCAACTGTCTGTTCCAGTGGCTGCGTTGCTTAAATCACGCTCCCAGCACCATGGCGGCACAAGGCCCGCAAGCAAGCTCACGCGTCCCTGCTGGGTGCGGTCGGGGTGCAACATCGACCTTTGCAGCATCACGGAGGCCTGAAGGCACCAAATTTTCCAATTAACGTTTATGCTTGACACAAGGCGCAGCGCCGCCGCCACGAAAGGGCGAACACAACGCTTCTAGTAACCTTCAACCCGTCGCCAAAACGCAGAAATTCGTCAGGCTACAGCATCAAGTGAAGTGCAGAATAGCACCTGGGCCCTCAGACTGGCCATGCTGAGTCGCAACCAGCAGAGTAAGTAGGAGGGCAGGCCAGGCGTGCAGCGGCCCCCCTCCCCAAGGCTACTGGGGCAGGGGCTCCCAGGTGACGGCGCTGCCGTCGCAAATCTGGTCAATGGCCGCGCGCGTCACATCTGCCTTGGACACCAGCGCGACGCCCACCAGCTGCCGCTCGCCGCCCTGGTGGCCCGCGCCGCCAGCTGCGCCGCCGCCTGCTCCCCACGCACCCCGCCCAGAGGGGCGGCCGTCTGGGAGCATGATGGGGGGCGTGCCGTGCAACACGTCGTCGCTGCGCAGGTAGAGCAGGCTGCCGTGGTGCACGTCCACCCGCAGGCCGTACTGGTAGACCTGGGGAGTGAGTAACACCAGGCCAGCGGGCGGGAAGGCATGTTTAAACTTGCTGCTTTCGTGCAAGCATGCTGTCAGTGACGCAGGTAGGTGTGTTATGCAATGCCGGCGTGAGTCACAAAGGGCATTGACTCACCGCAAAGTGCGCCAGGGGCTCCGCTTCCCCCGCTTTCCGCTCGTTGGCCTCTCGTGGCTGTGTGCTCTCCTGCTCCCCTGGCTGCTGCTGCCCAACACCCGTCCCGTCGCCCTCCCCGCCGCGCCCCTCCAGCCACCTGCCCGCCGCGGCCTCGCGCTGCGCGGCCGCCACGTCGCCGCCGGCCACCTCGGCCCAGCCGATGATGCACCCCATGTCGCGCGCGTCGACGTGCGCCTCGACGCCGGGCGCGGCCAGCGTGCTGTGGATCTGCTGGAATGGCAGCTCTGGGCCCAGCACCAGCGCTGCCAGCGCCGGGTTGCGCGACGCCGCCGTCCACGTCAGCAGGGACAGCAGCGGCGCGCCCACGCTGGCGCGCGCCGCGCGCAGCAGGGCGCCGCCCACGGCGCGCGCGGCGGTGTAGAAGGCCGCGACCTGGTGATGCAGGGGTGTGGTGTGGGGCAGGTGGCGCCAGGGCCGCCATCAGGCGCGACACTCGTTGCTGGGAGCATCCGTGAGCGCTGGCGATGCTGCGCCTGCAGCAAGGGGGGGCCCCGTCTTGCACCCCCGGTGCCACCCTGAGATGCGCCCACCCTTGCAACTTGCGGCCCTGCATGCGCACCTGCTCCTGTGTGGCGCGCTTGTTGGTGTACTCCGTCAGCTGCCCCGGGACGCGCCCGCTGCACGCCAGCCTTTGGGGCACGTGCGGGTGGTAAGCGAGTCATGGCAGCAAGATGTGAGAGTGTGTTAAGGGTTTGCACGGGCTGGCAAGCAAGGATGCTTGGCCATGAGGGGCCCTTTGTGCGCGGATCCGCGTCAGCATGTGCAGCGTGCAAGGAGCTTGAAGTGCACGCGGCACCCAGGAGCTCCATCATCCACGGCTCACGCAGTCACATTAGCAGGCAGCCAACTACTGCCCCGGCCCTGCTGGCAGCACCCCCAACTGCACCCTGGGCAGCAGCCGTCCTGGAGGGCCGCTGCAGCGTGCCGCACCTGAAGCCGCCGCTGACCATGCCACTGTGCTTGCCCCGGCTCTCGCTGCCCTTGCGCGCCGCGTGGCGGAAGGGGCAGTACGCGTGCATGCGCGCCGCATCACGCGCCAGGCCGAGCGGCACGGAGCAGCGCGGGGCCCAGCGCAGCCCCACCGCCCTGCAAAGACGCATGGCATGCAGAATTGTGCCGAGACAAAAATCGACAGAGGGTTTGGAGGGCACGCGGCGCATGTTGTGTGTAAACCCCACGCCCTTACACATCCCCAAGCAGCCACCTGGGCACGCCTGCTGTCCAGGGCCCCACCTGAGCTGGAGGCGCTCCAATGCCCCCAGGGTCTTGGGGATGTCGAAGGCCAGCAGCGGGGCGCTGGAGAACTCCGTGAGAGCGGCCAGGGCCTGGCCGAGCGGGATCGAGGGGCTTGGGTGCGCAGGCTGCTTGCACAACTTTGGGGACTACCGACACAAACAGGTGTGGGTACCAGGTGGGAACCAGCCAGCAGCAGCTGCAGATGGGCAGGGACAACTTCACTCGACAAAGTCTCCCATCAGGTGACAGCATGCATGTCTGAAGCTACAAGGCATGCGCCGGGAGGGGTCTGCTGTGCCCACCTTGGCGTCTCCGTCCAGCTCCCGCATGAAATCTCTGAGGCTGTTCGCGCCACTGAAGGAGGGCAGGGAGGCTGATACGCCCAGCACCACGGGCCGAGGGATGCAGTCCTGCTGGCCTGAGGAAGAGGGCCACAGCAGGAGGGGTGAAGTTGCATGCGCCAGTGGTGGTGGATCAACTTTACGTTGACAAGTGCACATTCGCAGCATCACCAGCTGGCGGGCGGCGTCTGACAGCTGAGCTTGCAGCGGGGGCGGGAACCCCACCTGCGAGCGTGATGACGTACCAGCCCAGCACAGAGCTGGGGTCAATGACCACCTGGCCAGGGACGGAGAGGAGGGCAAAGGGAGTCGAGAGGTGCCCATCAACAAGAGGTGCAGCACAGGACAAGGACCAAGAGGAAGGCATCCAAGGCAATAGTGCACATACCAACATCTGCATGAAAGATTTAGACGAATCCTGTTGTGCGTGTAAGTCTGGTTGACCGTGCTGACAATGCTGACTCGCCTGACCACTCCTGCCGCCCCCTTCACCTGGATCATGTGGTCTGGCTGCAGCGGGCTCGCACGCACGGCTGCCACCAGGCATAGCAGGTCCTGTGCGTTGTAGGCGCAGAGGCCGCTGATGATCTGGATGCTTGTTGCGCACTCGCGCTTGTGGCCGTTTGGGCCCTGCAGCAACTGTCAGCAGGGGGTTCAGCGCGGTTGAGGTGTGGCATGGACTCGAGGCGCCGAGTCTGAAAAGACATCGTGCACCATATATTGTGCAGCGTTTGACCACAAGACAGCCACAGGAGTTTATTGTGGGTGCCCGCAGCTCGTTGGACTGTCGACTTCACACACACCTGGGCACGCAAAGCCCGCTGCGCCACTCACCCCTCCTCACCCGCTCTGTTGCGGCGACGCCGGCCAGCACGACAGGGGTGCCCTTGAGCACAGCAGCCACGTCAGGCGGCACTGGCCTGCTGGGCTTGTAGCTGTCGGCGGCTTCGGGACCCTGGGGAGCCCCCGGACTGCCGCCTTCCGCCCGCTGCCGCGGTTGCATCGGCCCTTGGCCTGGTGCACAACCAAGGCCTACGGACGCGTCCACTGCTCCCTCCTCCTCCTTCTCCTCCTGGTGTTGCTGCTGCTGCTGCTGCTGCTGCTGCTCAGCGTACCGTAGGCTTGCCCCACCACCCGCATCCAAAGCGGCTGCTGTCGTGGTGCAGCTTTGGCGTGACGTTCGCCGACGCTCTGATGCCGCCGCCATAACTTGCTGCCGCTGAAGTTGCTGTTGCGATGCCTCAAAAAAGGCTGCACGCAAGCCAGCAGCGTCGGCCTCTGCCTGTAGGTTCTGCCGTGCCGGGTCGGGCAGGCCCTTCGCGCTGCGCTGTTTGCGCCGCCGTTCATCGCGTGTGCGATCAGTACATGAGCGCTTCGCCGGGGGCTCGCCTGCATCTAGCTCCTGCGCCTGCTGCTGCTTCTGCTGCTGCTGCTGCTGCTGCTGCTGCTGCTGCTGGTTTGCGTGCCATTTTGCACTGGGCTGTTGGTGACGGTTGCATGCGGCTCGCAACTCGCTGGGGCCGGAATTCTGCAACACTCGTCGGCGTGACTGATACATGGATTCATGTGTATATCCTACGCTGTGATGACGTCGTGATCACGGGAGAGCGGGGAAAAACGTGTGTTGTTGTTCCGGTATGAGACATGTACATTTTGCTTGGAGTACCACACGCGACACCCACATCCATAAGATGCACATGGGCGCATTCACCATGTTACGTTGCCAGAAGTCTGTGCAGATCCGACTCGATTACCGGTAGTCACCCCGTTGATTTGGTGTCGAGGTCGTGGAGGCTGCTAAATTTTTTATGAGCGCCTGCAACCACATGTAGAGAGCGCGTTGGCTGCAACCACACACTCACAGAGCAGGAGGCCATTCAAATCTGATCTCTCGCTAACCTGCCCGTACCCCCAATGGAGGCGCTCGTCAAGCCTGCGAGCCCTTTTGACTCGCATGAACTGCCTCCGCTTCCTGGGTTGCTCTTGCGGGCAGGGATAGATGCCACGCGCGTCGCCAGAGCTTGGAGCAAGCACCTGATCAAATTGCAGCGGTGGCACAGGAGGATGGTTGCAGCGCCCCTTTCGGCGGCACAGCTCCTCACGCGAAGGTGTGAGCTGCAGGCGCGCTTGGCGAGGGCCCTCGAAGCGGCTGCAGCGCTGCTCTCAGCCGGCGGGTGCAGCCTGGCCCCCACTCGCCTGGGTGATCTGCAAGGGCTGCTGCAGCACGGCCCCGGCCCAGATCTGGACCCCGAGATCGCTGGCGGCACGCCGCTGCTGGAGGCGGTCGCAGCTCGTGCGGCCCAGCTGTTTGATGCTTGGTTGGCGGACAACGCGGCAGCGGCAGGCCAGGGACAGGCGGCTGGCAACAGCGGAGGCGCAGACCGCACGCCACCTGCGGCGGCCACGCCTGCGCCGCCATTGGAGGCGGTGGTGACTGCGCGGGGGGCCCCCTCACGCGGGGCACAGGCGCAGCGCCGCACGCTGGTGGCTGCAGCCGCGACGGACCCTCTTGCTGCTGTGGACGGGGATGCTGTCGCTGCCCAAGCTGAGCCGCCAGGGGCGAGCGTGCGCAGCGGCGGAGGGGCGGACCGGTCGGCCTCGAAGGAGGATTCTGGGGGTGGCTCAGGCGGCGAGGGCCGCCGCCGCAAGAGGCACCGGCGCATGCGCGCTGCCACCACGGCGGCGCTGGGGCCGGATGAGCCAGCCACTCGCACGGCCGTGGGAGACGGGAGCGCCAGAAGCAGGGGCAACCGCGGCCTCAGCGGCCAAGAGCACAGCAGCGGCAATCCTGAGCCAGAGACCGCGAACGAGGGAGGCACACACACGCCGAGGCCACACGGCAGTCCAGACCAGGTGCGGGCTTGCTGATCACAGTGGCAAAGATATTGATCATAATGCATAGCTTTCGCGTGTTGGGGCAATGCACACTCACTTTTTGGCGTGCTCTAGCATGTCAACGTTTGGCATGACATACAACCAGACATGCAGAGACTGCGGCCTAGCACTCAAACCCGCACACTCTTCCTCGCTGCTCGCCCCCCTCTCCCAGAGCCCTGTCGTAGTCCCCTACACCTACCCCAGCCTCTTCAAACTGCAGCGGGCGGCCGAGGGTGGGGTGCCCTTCGTCTTTGGCGAGTCGCAGCAGCAGACTGAGCGGCATGACGATGGACACCAGGAGGAGCAGCAAGGCCAGGCTGAGCAGGAGCAGCAGCAGCAGCAGCAGCAGCAGCAGCAGCAGCAGCTGCAAGGACTGGACCAGGAGGCTCAGCATCAGCAGGTGGAGCCGGAAGCGGGCGCGGCAGCCGCAGGATTTCCTTGGCGGGCAGCTGCAGAGGCGGAAGCTGCGGCACGGGAGACGGTGAGCATGACACCGCCACAACTAAATCCACATAATTACAATACTGAGGGACAACGTGGCGGGCGGCTTTTTTTGCCGAGCAGCATAATTGCTTTCCATGTGTGTGATTCACACACGATTGCTGCAAGGAACCAGCCGCTGGCGCACCCACAAACGCTCTGCCCCACCCCCTGTCCGCGCAGGCCCACCAGACCTACCGCATCAACCCTCCTGAGCTGGCGGCCTGGCGCGACCTGGCACCCCTGCTGGTGGTGCCTGGAGGTGTGGAGGCGCCCGGCGGTGGCTGCCCGGGTGTGCCTGGCGCGCTGACAGTGGAAGGCCTGCAGGTGCGCAGCACTCTGTCTGCGCAGAAAGGATAAGACGGGGTTGGCTGGGCAGCATTGCCAACACTGCAAGGGGGGGTGCTGCAAGGAGAAATGGGGCCACCCGGCTTGCAAGCGCGCACACAACTTATCACGCCTGCTGTGCCTGCATCTGTGGCTTCCTCACAAGGCCATACGCGTAAACAAGACTGACTGACGCTTCGCCACCCCTCAACACACCCCACCCAGGACTTTTCGCCGGAGGCCCTCTTCCTGCACTTTGCAGCCGGGCGGGCGGCACGGCGGCAGCAGGAGCAGCAGCAGCAGGGGCAACAGCAGCCAGGGCAACGGCAGCAGGGGCAGCAGCAGCGGGCAAGCGGCCGCCACGAGCCCAAGCTGGGCGGGGAGCAGGAGGCCCGCGGCAGCGGTCCATCTGCTGCAGGCGACGGCTGCGGGGCGGCGCTTGAGGACGCAGTGTTCACCGATATGCTCAGGTGCGGGGGCTTCGCGGTGGGGGCCGGGGC